TTAAAGTTAAAGGTTAAGAAAACCCCACTTAGGAGACTCTGTGACCTCTTCATTGGATTCTGGTCCAACTGCGGTGCTTGTTTCTTGCTTGCTTTATTTGTTTACTTACAGACTTATTTATTTTTATTTTCTGTGCATTGCTGCTTTGTCTGTATGTCAAGCCTGTGTACTGTGTACAGTGTCCAGAGGCCAGACAAGGGCATCAGATACTATGAGACTGGAGTTGCAGCTGTGAGCTGCCATGTGGGTTCTGGGACTTGAACCCAGGACCTCCAGAAGAGCAGCCAGTGAGTGCTCTTAACCTCTGAATCCTATGGCCAGACCCCACTCTGGTTGCTCTTTAAGATACCGACCTCGTTCCCACTCAGGGTCATGCACCTGTGGTGTCTGCAGCATGCACTTCTCACGCCCTCAGTTCCCCAGGTAGCACCCTCATTCTTGGCAAGGATCACTTCCCCTTTGCAAAGGTCATCTCCCCAGTGAAAAGTAGCGGCTCCAGGCATTGTCACAATACTTGCCTTTGGAGCAGTCTTATTCCTTTAAACGCATAAGGACTGAATGTCTCCTAGTCCACGAGGGTGGAGAGCAGACTTGACTGTGTCTCCCCGGGATCCTCCAGAACTTGAGCAGCACCCGATATTCTGCAGGTGCTGAATATTCATTAAGTGGACTTTCTGCTCCTGGGATTAAACACGGCTTGGTTACAGAGCACTGTCCTTCCCGTCGATTTGATTAGATTTACTTTTCCCATATGTTTGTAGACATTATGCATTCATCGGCTCTCATCGTCTCCCTCCTCCCACCCCGGCGTCCTTCCAGATTATATCCCCTAGGGTGAGCTGGGGGAGCACGTCCTCCGTTACTACTGTGTGGAACAGTTTGTACAAGACAGACGCTACCTAGGCCTTCAAAGTGTGGAAGCACCTTCTTCAAATCCCCCTGAGCCAGCTGTTTTTCTCATGGGACTATTTTAAGCGACTGCCCCAGTTTCTTTATAATCTTAAGATTATTCAAGCTATTTCCTTTCGAGATTGGAAAAGGAAAACATTCTTTAAGATGCTTTTCGGGATGTGACCATTTCATCTAAAAAATGTCTAAACTAAATTTAGTGGGAGTGAGTACCTTTGGGTGTTCTTGGTCTGTGTAGTAGGTAGATAGACATATTCATATAAAATATATAAGGGGGGGGAATAACTTGGACTAATGAGGGCAGTGTGTATTAAACCAAAGATTTCAATTGTGTACACTCTTACTGCTCAGGAACAGCATTTCCCAAAGCAAATCTGGGCCCGGGGTTCACGCACAGACCTAGACGGGAAACAGCTGTGAGCATAGCCTCAGGTTTCCCCAGTCCAGATTCTGACAGACAGAAAACACTTGATCTCTGCCACTTCCCCAAGGCTGGGTTCTGGCCTTCCACACCACAGAGCATCTGAAACCTTCTTTGTCCCAGAGCAGGACAAAGCCAGAGTACCTTCCAGGAGTGCAAAAAGCACCATTCAGGACAGCTCAAAGGGCATTCTAGAAGAGATCAAATTATAATGGATTAAACAGTGTTTTGACACTTCGGACAGCCCTGAGGTCTGACGGGATTCTCTGCTTGTGAAATTGTTATATGATTTAATACGTATACCTACATGTCTATATCTCTGTGTGTGTCTGCGTGTGTGTGTCATCACTAGACTCAAAGGACAGGAATTCCTGGGCGAATGCAGGTGGAAAGGCATCTAGTTTTTGAATATCATTAGCTGTCACAAAGTTTGGAATTAATCATGACACTGTGCAAATAGTAAAATATTTGCAAGCAGGGAGAGGGTGGAGATGCCAGAGCCTATGAATTTATGCCAGCTGAGCACCGCAGCGGAACATCACTGTGGAGGTGGCTGACAAATGGAGTCACTATTTTGCCAACTCCAGGAAAGCCTTACACAATTGCATCAAAATTGTTTCTATGCAAACGATTGTTTTTTAAAAGGGTCCTTACCTCAAATAACTGCTATTGAGTGCTTTCGGGGGAAGCACAAACCCAGGTATTAGCCTCTAACTCTTAGGAGGTATTTCTCTTGGAATAGTGAGGGAGACCATAGGTGTGTTATTCTCCTTTTTGCTATTCCCGGTTCCTCCATCAGCTTTGTCTTTTCCATTCAAAACATAGCTGCAGGTTTGGTGGGGGAAAGGGCAGAGGGAAGAAGGGGGAGGTATATTTGCAGCAACACTGGGAGGGAGGTGGAGGTGGGTAAAAAGGAGAGATGGAAGGCAACTCATTTAGCATCTACTGGCAATATCTACAGGTTTCAAAGCCCTGGCTGTCCTGGAATTCTCTGAAGACCAGGCTGGCCTTGAACTCACAAACATCTGCCTGCTTCTGCCTCCTGACTGCCACCACCGCCTGACCAGGGTTAATTTCTTCCTGGAGGAAATAAAACAGCACATTTACTTAAGGAAGTTATGTGTGAGATTCGGTGGGTCTATGGGTCTGTAAAGGCTTTGATTATACCCCCGGAATCCACATGGTGAAGAGCCAACTCTGCAGACTGTCCCCTGACCTCCACATCAGTGCCGTGGCATTGTACCTTCCTATATTATAAATGTTAAAAACTCTGCTCTCCCATCACAAATCGGGATGGGAGAAATGTCTTATCCATACACTTATTAAAACCATAAAGGAATATTTCAATTGAATACTTGTGACATTATGAATTTTTCCGGAAAACAGGACCAAGTCAAACCATTAGCATTTTGTATTACTTGTCTGTATGTGTAGGGACAGGGGCATAATGTGTCAGGGAGCACATATGGACCTCAAAGGACACTTGGAAGAATCTGTTCTCTCCTTCCGTCCTGTGCATTCCAGGACTTGAATTCAGACCCCAGGCTTGGGTGCAAGTGCCTTTAACCAAGGAATCATTTCGCTGATCCTACATCATGCTATTTTTATTTTTTAAAGCCCGAAACTAAACCCATACAAAACAAAACAACAATCGAAATAAAGCAAAAAAAAAAAAAAAAAAA